ATATTGTCTTTGCTCAGGGAAAGATACAGTAAAAATTTTTGGCGACTCCACTAACTCTATTGCTAGTAAATGATCAATTGTATCAACAACCGGTCTAACTCTAAAATTTGTTTTGCATGTTCCCCAATTGAAATATAACATGTTATTTATTAGTAAGCTAACACATGACATGAATTGTGTTGCTTGTTTTTCTTATGATGTTTGTGTTTTTCAAGATTGTCGTTTGAAAAGGATAATTAGAAATGTTAAGCAAGTAGTCGAGCTCTACTACTTCCAAGAGAAAGACACAGGAAACGAGGAGACTTCTCCAAGTAGTTGCAGTCTTTCTCAATCCACAGAATATCATATTATGTTGTTACATTATTGTTTGGGTTATTCCAATTTTTAACATTTAAAACATTTGTACCTATTAATGTTTATTAATAAAAATATTACTAGTCTCAAATGAGACTTGTCAATTAGCTAAACATTATTGAGTTCCATAATCTCCTCACCCTTACACGCGTTCCACTCCTTTTTACTTATTCACACTGACTTGTGGGGACCCTCTCGTACACCCAACTACACTAAAAAACAGTGTTTTATTACCTTAATCGATAATCACACTCAAATGATATGGGTTTATATCTTAAAAGATAAATATGAAGTTATTATCACGTTCAAAAATTTTCATTTTTTCATATTGCTCAATTCAAAATGTTAATTCAGGTCCTTCGTGCCAACAATGGTCGTGAATTCATTTACTCTATTTCAGATAAATTCTTAGTAAATAAGGGCATCATCCATCATAGCTCATGTACGAGCACTCCCCAACAAAATGGGGCAGCCGATAACAAAAACTGACATTTTCTCGAAGTAACTCACTCTATTATGTTTCAATCTAATGTTCTAAAAAGCTTTAGAAATGATGTTGTGTTTACTGTCACCTATCTCATCAATAGAATCCCCACAAAAAATCACAAGTTTCGAACCTCTTTAGCCATTTTGATATCTTGTTTCCCCGCCAAATGGTTCTTCATAATCTTAAACCCAAAATTTTTGGGTGCGCGATCTTTGTTCGTAACACTATTCTGAATCATACTAAGCTCGATCCTAGATCCATAAAATGTGTCTTCCTTGAAAGTGTATTCTGCCACTTAAAAAGACTGTCGAAATCTTGATCCTACTACAAATAAATTCTATGCGAGTGTCGATGTCTCCGTCTTTGAAAGTGTTATACACTTCCCTATCACTGTTTTAAGTGAGGAGTTTGATTTCTTGGACATCATTCCTTATCCAACCCCAATGGATATTACTCCAACAACTATATCCAAGGAACTATCCGTTACTCTGTACCCACCACCTATCAGTCAACTAGACCCTCCTCCCATCCTCTATGTCTATACTCGATGTACCATTTTGATGGTCCCACTCTGGAGCCCACTGCTTCCTTACAGGACCTGAAATCCACTCCGAGCAACATCCCCAGAACTAACCTCACTCCGAAGGAGGAGGTGAATTTTCTTATCGAGGAATGTAATCAGGCGAGCTCTCTTTATTCCATGAAAAAAATATATCTTTTTTCACAGTGTATCTCCGACATACAAAGTATTTGTTACTGTCTTGACGGATCATCATCTACCATTTACTAGTTGACCCTTCATGGAAAGCTACAGTAATGGATGGGATGAATGCCCTTTAACGGAATCATACATGGGATGTTGTGGATTTTCTCCGAGTAAGAAAGCAATGGGATGTCGTTGAATTTTTAGCATCAAGTTCAACTCTAATGGATCATTTGAACACAACAAAGCATAGTTGGTCGCTAAATGCTACTCACAAACATACCGGTTTGATTATGATAAGACATTTGCTCCGATTGATAAATTGAATACCATCCGGGTCATACTTTCTCTTGTTGTGAATCTAGATTGGCCCTTGCTCCAGTTTGATGTCAAGAATACTTTTCCAAATGGGAATCTCACAGAGCAGGTGTACATGTACCTCCCTTAAAGTTTTGACTCTGCTTTCCCTAAGGGACAAGCGTGTAAACTGCGGAAGCCTCTCTATGGACTGAAGGAATCTCCGAGGGGCTAGTTCGATAAGTTCACAAAGGTGGTAATGGGACATAATTTTCTTAAGCCTAATCAGATCAATTCCTCCAGTGAAAAAAATTTTATCCATATCGTCTATGTCGACAATATCATGCTCACAGGTGATGATCTACCAGTATTGAAGTCTCTAAAAGGTATTATTGCTACTTCATTTGAAATAATAGACTTAGGATTACTCTGGTACTTCTTAAGCATGGAAGTTGCTTGGTCATCTCGAGGGATTTTACTATTTCAGTGCAAATATGTGCTTAATTTATTGACAGAAAATAACCTACTCTTATGCAAACCAGTAACAGTTCCAATGGATCCAAATGAGAAAATAGCTGATGATCCCAATGTTGTTTCGGTGAATAAAACTCACTACCAACGTTTTGTGGGGAAACTCATTTACCTTGTCAATACTCAGCCCGACATTTGCAATGAAATAGGTATTATGAGTCAATCATGCATAATCCCTATGAGCACCATCTCAGAGTTATTAACTCCTTCACTACTTAAAAAAAAAGACATCGGGTTCATATCTTTTTTTTTTTTTTGCATCACACCTCTCGTTATATTGTTGTTTATGCGGATGCAGATTAGGTTAGGTCCATCCATGATCAAAGATCAATCTCCGGATACTATTCATTCGTGTGGAGAAATGTTTTCACATGGAAAAACAAAAAATAGTCAGTTGTGGCCTGAAACAGTTTTGAAGCCAAGTTTCACTCTATATACTTGGCTCTCTATTTATGCATTATGCTTCATGAATTACATCTATCAGTCTCTGGTCCTCTCTAGTTGTTCTATGATTATAAAGATGTCATTAACATCGCATATAATCCGGTCCAGCATCATCGCACAAGCATGTAGAGATTGACTGACACATTATTAAGAAAAAACTTCATTCATGGGAGATTTGTATTTCATCTGTTCCATCCAATGGTCAATTAGCAGATATGCTCACCGAAAAAAATCTTCCGCAGCCGTTGTTTGACGACTTCAAATCCAAGTTAAACATGATGAACATTTATGCTTCAACGTATGAGGGAGTATAAGAATTATTAACCTGATTAATGTTGCAGTTATTATCAGGCTTTATTTGCTTTCTTTATTTTCTTTCGTTTTCATATTTATGTATTTCTGAATTTGCCTTGTCTTTTATGTGGGTCTTGTAATGTGTATTTATACACCTCTTTCTTATCAATAAAGCATGGAACTCTAGCCTCTAAATTTAATAGTTTTTATATGTTTTTATTTTTGTTCTAAAAAATTTAACTTTTTTTTTAATAACATTCAAAATACCTGAGAAAAGTTTTGAGCATTTTTAAAATAATTAAGCAAATATGTTAATTCAAATTAAACATAAACAAATATAGTAATAAATGAAAAACAAAAAGCAAAAGTGATCCCAAGCAGCCCCTTAGTTGAGCGCTCAATTTCATTGATTCGATGATTGGCCAATAATATAACTAAAGCACAATAGCCCCGTATAACAATAGCAAGCCACTTTGCTATAACTACAATACTACAAATGGAAGATGCTTTGGCACAACCACAGCCCAAGTTTTCTTCCTTGACATAACTATAACCCCCTGACTACAGTGACGCCTTACAAGTATGGGTGTTTCTATGCATGGCACTCAATTCCTATGTGTTTACATGTCTAACACCTAAATTCTACTGCTTACACTTACACAACCCAAATCTTCTATATCACATAAAACAAACCATTTCAACTTTTAAAAAGTGGAATACACCTTTCATACATAGGAAGGTGACATGTATACAAAAATTGAAATTTAGGTGTTAGATATGCAAATGCATGTTAAAAAGTGAAAAAAACCAATTCCTATGTATTTACATATCTAACACCAAAACTCTACTTATTACATTTATACCACCTAAATCTTTCATATCACATAAAAGGCACCATTTTAACTTTTAAAAAGTGAAATACACCTTTTCATGCATAGGAAGGTGGCATGTATGTAAAAATTTAAATGTAGGTGTTAGATATGTAAATACATGAGAAATGAGAATTATGTATTCAAATGCTCCTTACAAGTAATACAATACCATAAATGTAAACATTCAGCAATTGATAATCTGCTAGCTCTAAACATTGTTAATGGAAATCTTCCTTACAAGTAAATACAACAGCATGAGAATTGAGTGTTATGTATTGAAATCTTCCTTACAAGTAACACAACACCATAAATATAAACATTCAACAATTGATAAGCCGCTAGCTCTAAACATTGTTAATGGATCAATGCAAACACCTACAAACTTTTCTCTCCTCCACATATTCCCCTTTATCTGTTGCAGCAGTTTTCTATCTCTACTTTTTATATAAACCTTTAACAAAATAACGCTTGGTTCAGTAGGCTGGCCTTCTCATTCGTCGATTTCAGTAAGAATCTCTCAACAAATAACGAGCCTCTCTGGAACAAAGGCTTCGCAAATCATATGGAAATTTAGCATAAATCTTAAAGTTAATTCTCTGGGCAAAACTTAAAAAAAATGGAGCATTTAAATTTGAAAAATTCCCAAACGTCCATTTGTGAGAGTCCAAATCTAAAAATTTAAGCTATGTATGATGAGTATCGTGTATTAAAGAGTAGAGGGATGTCATTTCCCAGTGCGAAAGTCCACAACGAGAAAGAGTCCATTTCTCATCACCATAGTTATTTAAGGATATAGAAAAATCATAAGGTTGAATTAGTATCAAGTCGCAGTAGCACTTCCACACTAAGAACCTTGCTCAATAGTGTTTATGAAAAAAAAAAGGTCGGAGAATCACATTCTCCCCAGCTAGAACCCTTTGTTACCCTACAGAAGTTCCTTCCATGACAAGAATCTCACCCCCCAATCACGCAGCAATCGATCACACTCCAAAAAAAACTAATGGAAAAAGGAGATTACCTTGAGAGAGAAATTGAGGGCGACGGAAGGGTAGTAACGGAGAACGCTAGTGCCGTTGCCACGCCAAAGAGAAAGTACGCCTTCCTCGCGGACAGTGCGGGCGATGCAATCAACCATGCCGCGAAAGCGAACCTTACGCGCGTGACCAGTCAAACCAAGAATGGCGGCGTTGCTCTCCTGCGTTTGTAGAAGAAGTTTCGCCCGTTCGATCGGCGCAACCACTGTGTGCACCAGTCCACCCATCACGGCCCCCGCCACCAGATCCCGCTGAAAACTCCCCACCCTTCCCCAACCGCCTTTCTTCGCCCGTCCTCTATCACCATTGCCGGAGCCGCTGCTGATCTTTTCCCCACCGGTGCAGCCTCCGCCGTTCACGTCTGCCGTCTTCATTCCCCCCTAACAGTCGTCTTCCTCAGCCCCCTTCCCTTGCTCTCTCTCCCTCGTTCTCCAGTAGAGAATTTCTCGACTTCTGAGATTCCAACACAGCAGATCAGAATACGGCAGCCAGTACTGAATTTGGGATGTTGCCTCCATCCATCTTCAGCAGCTCATGAGGCTGCATTTTGCCTCGGCGACAATTTATACAGCGAACCTAAAGAGATCACGTGAGGCTCATGTGATCTACATTTTTTTGTGTATTTTTGTAGGCTGAAAAATAAATACTCCCGACACATTCAAAATATCATTATTTTAATTTTTTGAATTATTAAATACAACTTTTATATACAAATAATGTGGCACAAATGTAAAAATTTAAATTTAGGTGGTAAATATGTAAATACATAGTTGTAAGTGATAAATATGTAAATATTTCCAAAAATAAACAGTATTATGATATAACTGTCTTTAAAATAAATAAGGTAAAATTAACTTTCTATTGATAGAGTACATGCATAGTCAAATAAAAATAATACAACCTTGATATATTGAGATTTGATTATCTTGTAAGATAAAATGCATGTTAATTATTTTAATTTTATTATTTTTGTTACATGTCTGAAAATTCATAGTAGTTGAGTACTAATTTAATGTCTTAAGTGTTGTATGAAATCTAATGCACACAGATAATAAAAAAAAATAGAATGAGATCAATAATTTTTACGTGATGGAGAAAATCAAAAGTCTAATCCAGTCAAAATGATTCACTATAAGTTTGTAGGTAGATAGACAAACCCTTGTCTTGCAACCGAAAAAATGGTTACAATATTCACCAAATATAATGTTTATCATGTTTACAATGTATAGAAAGATTCGATGTATTTTCAATAGAATCCTCAAGAGCAATTACAACTGGGAGTCATCGTCCGGTCTTTAATACAGCATGTTTGAGATATTTCGTTGGCTCGTTGCATAGCATTTAGAACACTATTACTCTGAACGCATGAGTCTTCGTCATCTAATAAAGTAATTCATTATTCCGCAATATATGTCGTTACTTTGACGAAAGTATATCAAGTTTGTTGAAATCAAAGCTCTCGATCATTTTTAAAATCGGAAGAATTTCTACTCAAAAAATGCGTCGAGATCTATGTTAAATGCATCATAATTCATGTCAAATAATAAATTTAAAAGATGCCCCTATTTTTTAGCATATTAGTTCTTATTATCCAAAATCAATAAAAATAGTGAAAAAAAAAACTGAAATTTTTTATTTGGTCTGCGGCGGACGACGATGGCTGATAGGTGGCGACAGAGACCGTTGAATGTGTGGGAGGAAAATATCATAGCTTGTCATGAGAGAAAGATGTGGTGGGGGTTCAATCAGGTCAAAGGTTGCAAGGGCATGTTCCTGACCTCATTTTTGGTCACATGGGACTTGCACGAACATCAACCCTTGTGGTCGAAAGGGAGCCTGTACTTTTTTTTGCCTGGCGTGGTCACGTCAGGCCTGGGCATGACCTCAACCCAAAATACCTCAACGTGGTTACAGCCTGCCCTAGGCGTGACCATGCCCCAAAGTATCTCAACGTGGTCATGTCAGGCCTAAGTGTGACCATGCTTAGGCAAACCGACTTCACATGTCAACGATTTGTGGCCTTTGTCCATAGATCAAGCCTTGAATTGACACACCCTTTCGCCGACGGCAATCCATGGCTCAATAACAACTAGACTGATCGTTATCATTGACTTACCACTTTATATGAAGGCTCCGGGTGGACTTACCAATGCCTTCCCCACCTATAAATGGGAATCTCTGATACTGGACTTGGCACTGTTCCAACTGTCCGGGCATTATTCGCAGAAGAAGAAGCGAAGAGGGAGATCAGAGAGGGATTCCAATGAGCTTCCTCCTCTTTTTCCTCCTCTGGTCTGCCTCCTCTCCCCTCAGTAAATTCTCCTTCCTTCCTCTTTTAAATTAAGCATTTATTTATTTAAAATTTTTAAGCCTAGGTCAATGTTGGCATCATTTTTGTATGTAATATCTGTCAGTGTCCACTTGAATGTTACAGGACTGTTTACAGCTTCTTGTAGCCTAGAACATTCGTCTGGACCATCAGGTATGTGCCCCAAGCACAAAATTAGGATTGTTGTCGATTGTTGTCATACTCATCTCCTAATCTTGTCAGAAAGAGAGATAGAGCAGCGAGCCTTCCATTTACTCTCGCACCTCTTTTGTATTTCTAAGAGATATCATCTCCTTGAGGGCTTCGATTTTTTTTAAGATTAACCTTGATTTCATGGTGAGTAAACATAAAATTTGAAGAACTTGTCTGATGTGAATTTGAAGAAACATTTGGCGGAGTTAAGACTTGTGTTATATTTTCAAAGAAGATGAAAATATTTTCTTAAGTCAGGAATATGTTGGGAGTTTTTAGATACTTGACCAGCATGTCTTTGATATATTCCTCCATGGTATATTTTTGATGAGACATTTGAAAACCTTGTTCATGAGATGCTAGAAAGTTGTGCTCATGCTCTTCAGTCCGAAGGACATCACCCTAAAACAGTGCATGCCTGTCTGTTTGGAAAGAAATAGTTTCCTCATCAATTAGATTCATATATTATCTAGTTGTAACCAAAATAAGCTTCCATGAAGTTGAGCATTTGATATGCAGAAGTAGCAACAACTAATTGAACTCTCCAAAAAAAAGGAAAATTGTCCTTGGGATAAACATTGTTCATATTAGTATGGTAAAAGCACATCTTTCGTGCTCCAAAGGGCTTTCTTCATCGTAATGAAGTTTGCAAGCCAAACACGAAGATGTACCTTCCCATACAAATTTTGGTTAGTGAAGCTTGTCGACCTCTTGTTCGATCTTTTATTGGTGATCTAACATAAAGACTTGCTTTTTTGGATGAATGAATTACATATGGGGCCGATCTTGAGGGAATGCACAATCACTTCGAGATCAACGCCCATTTTTGTCAGGGTCCAAGCAAACACATCTTAATTTCTACAAATGAAATCTATATAATCCAATTTTTTATCACTAGACAACAAAGATCTGAACTACATACTCCGTAAATGGTGTTCCTCTCATCTTTATTTTTAGTAACTTCTTAGTCTCACAATCATGTAAAATATATGCATGATAAGATATATTTTATCTTTCAATTTTAATGTGATGCTATATATATATATATATCAC